GGTAGCCTCTCGAGATCAGGCGTGTATTGAAATTTTCAATATTCTCTTCAATGTATTTCACAATAAACCTTGCGCAAGCAAAAGGGAGTTAATCGGTGAATTTTATCACTTATTTCACGGTTATTCAAACAAAAGCTTACATTTTTCATGTACCAACACTGCCAAAGTCCATTCGCGATAAAACAACGGCGAAAAAGCGTTGATCTTTCCCCAAACCATGTTTTTTGACGTCGAAACAACATTTCCTCATACATCTTCTTCTAGCGACTTGCAATGTTTGCCCCCTGACGATCCCAGAGTTCTTTGCGCAAACACAGGTATCCCATTACTAGCAACTCATTCGTTTAGACGGCGAACAGGCTCCCGGTGAGCCCGAACGAGGCCAAAAACAAAGTCTACAGGTTCCCCTGTCCCAGTAGGCTCGATTTCCGCCGCTTTTTCGAGTCCGGTCTCGGAGGAGGAGCGCGGGTTCTTTTCCCGAACAGCGGCTGGTAATCGAGCCTACTGTCCCAGCCCCGATCGCTTTGCTCCCCGAATTCTTCTGTTTCGCGTTTGCCGGCCGAATTTTTTTCCGTCCTCGCCGGGAGCCTGTTCGCAGGCTAACTTCAATTAAGCTGTTTGTCAGCCGTAATTCTAGCCCCTTGTTTGGATAGTAACAAGAGAACATCAATTCGGACCAAAAACGTAATACGAGTCATTGCACTGAGACGTGGGTTGCATTAAGGCAATTGGGAAATTACATAATAATTAAAGCCTCTAAATGGGTATTTCTGACGAAATAACTGAGTAAAGATGGCGACTGATAAAATATCAATCTATCACATTGAAACGAGGATAGATAACAATTATTATTTTTTAGGTAAACAAGTATCAAACAAGGAGTAAAACTGCTTATTTATTTCTATTGCAAGACGAAATACAACAGTCTAAATGTATTCGATGCAGGACCATACCGCGTACAAAAATTGAAATTTGGTGCAAGCACACTCACAACTGGGAAAGTTCTTTCCTGTGACGTTAGCAGATGTTGTTGATAGATACAACAAAGTCATAAATATACGTGCACCAAACAGATTTAACAGCAGTTATAGAATCGAAATAAGGCCCCCATGTGCATGTTTCTGAAAAATATCCAAGGGAGACTACAACCCAGTTACAGAAAGCGGGACAGGGCGAGGACTTCTTCGCACTAAATTTTTTATATGTATTAAAACTATATTTAAATCACAGAGAACTGGACAGAGCGAAGACTTCTTCGCACTAAATTTTTTATATGTATAAAAAATAGTTGTTTAGAATGGAGAACTGGACAGGGCGAAGACTTCTTCGCACTAAATTTTTTAAATGTGTAAGAACTGAAATGTTTCTTCAGGGAAACTTCTTCGCACTGAATTTTTTATATATATCAAAACTATATTTTTATCACAGAGAACTGGACAGGGCGAAGACTTCCCCACACTAAATTTTTTATATGTTTAAAACTATAGTGTTATTACATTTTGCATCACAGAATAAAGGTCTTAGCACAATTTTTTTTATATAGTACTATCTCACTTTGCTGCCAAATTTGCATAAGTGTAAA